GAAGTGGAACGGAGAGCCCCCCTACCGGGAAATCGATTTCGGTTTCGTGTTCGTGCGTGCCGTGCGTGCGGGCGAGGCGAAGCTGCGTGGGCGGGCGAGAAAAGTCTCCTGTGGCTGAGGCGCGGCCGGACCAAATGTCTCCCTTCCGGGCGGCCCGTGGCCCGCGGTGTCCCGCCGGTGTCCCGCTGGTGTCCCGTGTGGCTGAGGCGCGGCCGGACCAAATGTCTCCCTTCCGGGCGGCCCGTGGCCCGCGGTGTCCCGCCGGTGTCCCGCTGTGTCCCGTGTGGCTGAGGCGCGGCCGGACCAAATGTCCCTTCCGGGCGGCCGGTGGCCCGCGGTGTCCCGCCGGTGTGTCCCGCGGTGTCCCGCGGTGCCCCGCGGTGCCCCGCGGTGTCCCGCGGTGTCCCGATGATGATGATGATGATGATGATGATGATGATGATGATGATGATGATGATGATGATGATGATGATGATGATGATGATGATGATGATGATGATGATGTTGATGTTGATGTTGATGTTGATGTTGATGATGATTGATGTGATGATGATGATGATGGTGATGATGATGATGATGATGATGCTGATGATGATGCTGCTGATGATGCTGATGCTGATGTTGATGCTGATGATGATGATGATGATGATGATGATGATGATGATGATGATGATGATGATGATGATGATGATGATGATGATGATGATGATCGAGTGAGATCGAGTGTGAGATAGATCGAGTGAGATCGAGTGAGATCGATTGTGAGATCGATCGAGGGAGATCGATCGAGCGAGACCGATACTGAGATCGATAGTGAGATCGATAGTGAGACCGATCGAGTGAGACGTTGGTTCCTCCCCCCCCCGAACTTCCTTATCACCCGAAGGGTGGTCGTATAGGTATCATATTACATCCAGTTGGCCCCGTGAATAGCAGAATTACAGCGTGCAACCAACGACTTACGAAATCCGATATAACATCTTGCCTTTGTATTTACTAAGCACTGTAATAGTCTTACAGAGATATGCTAGTTATGGCACAGTTACGAACAACGTATGGAGACTTACGAAGCAGGTGCAAGCAAGGGAACGATGGTCAAGGATTTCCCCCTCTGTTTTCCTCCTCGTCCTTTTCCTCCTCCTCGCCTCCTCCTCCGTCTTCTCCTTCGCTTCCTACCTCCTCCGCCTCCTCCTCCGCCATGTCCTCCTCCTCTTCCACTGTTCGTTACATATCTCTCTCTCTCTTTGTTTCTTTCTCTCTTTCATTCCCTCTCTCCATCCCTCCTTCTCCCGCCCTTCTTCCCGCCCCCCCTGCATTTGTTGCGTAACTTGTGTGACAGGCGTGGCGCTCATACGAGCGCCTATCTTGAGCCGAGGCCTGAGCCAGCGAGGCTTGAGTCAGGAGGAGGGAGGAGAAGCGAGAGGGAGGAGGAGCGAACAGCGGGCATGTGTCCTGCGCATAACGGCTAGAGGAGGACGAAGAGGAAGCGGGGGGAAGAGGAGGTGGGGGGATGTCAGTTGTACCAACTCTTGACGCTTCGCGTATCCCCACCAGGGACTTACCACCCCGACCTCTGTGTTACCCGACAGGCTGGGGCTGGCGTCCTCGGTCGTTCCCTTGTCCGCTCTTGGACGTTGGAACGTTTTCGCGCCATTTTGGCTGCGCTTGGTGGTCTGGGTGCCTACCTCAGGCCTGTTGGACGCACCTGCATGCCCGTTCAGGGGCTGGCATGGCACCTGGATTGCATCGTCTTCCCTGGACGCTGTCGTGAGCCGCCTGATCCGCGGCCCTGCGCGCGTTAGGTAATTTAGTCGCGTCCGCGGCCCGTTCGCGACCTTCCGCCGCTGGCGCTTCCGCCTGCGGCTGTAAAAAGAAAATCCCCACCAGGTGCTTGCAGAGCTCCGTTCCTGTCTACGCACCGATTTCCGGTTCACCAGCCGCGGCACCGGTCCTCAGTACGCGGCATGGCATTTGCACCGTGGTGGGCTGGCGTACCGGCGTGCAGTTCTTAATTCTCTGGCACCCCTGCCTCAGGTTTGCAAGACCAGCCAGTCAGCCCCTTCCTGCCGCTGCTGCACCTCAGCTGCCGCTTCTGAGTGTTGGCCCGTTCGGTTCGCGTGGCGTTTAGTAGCTAATTCGGCTGGCCCGTGCCCCGGACCCCCTCTCGCCGCCTGCCCTCTGCTGCGCGGCCGCGACCAACAAAAAACGTATCCCCACCAGTTATGCGTGGGTCGGTTTGGACATTTGCTTGAATGGGCGCTGTGTGGACGTTTTCTGCCCCTGGCCCTGGCATCCACACTCAGTGCAGCTCGTAGCCTACCTGAGGCGACGCTTAGGCAGCTAGTTGTTTAGGTTACGCCGCTCTAGCTTGCTCCTGTTTTAATTCGTAGGCCCACGCCCCGGACTTACGACTCGCCGCTTGCGCTCTCGCCTGCGGCTGCTTCCAAAAAAGTATCCCCACCAGCCCTCCCGCTTCCCTCGCCTGTGGCTGGGTGACGCATCTCCCCGCCAGCTTTGGCTCCCGCACCCCGCTCAAATCGCGGTTCTGCTCCCCTCGAGGGTCGGTGGCCTCGGGTGCTCGTGGTTGAGCCTGGGCATCAGTCCGTGGCCTCATCCTCGCGCCGCCCAGGCGCTGGCACGTTCGAGGGCCGACCCGCTCTGGCTGGCCGGCGGCCAAGATGTACGGGGTCGCTCTGACTGCTAGCCTGTGTTCTGTTCGCGTCAGTCGCCTCCCCTGGTCGGGTGGCTGCGGACTGCGCCCCCTCTCCCTACGGGGCTTTGGTGTGCGACTTCGCGGGCGCCACCACTCGCACTCGCCACACCGTGGCGGGCATCGTGGGCCTATCCCCGTGTTGCCCCACCCTGGTCGAACCGTGGTGCTCTTGCGCGCCATTTTGGCTACGCTTCAGCCTCGTTTGGCCAATTCACGCGCACGCAATTCGTTTCCTGGTGGTTTTTGGCCCTCGGCTCAGGCCTCCCTGGCAGCCTCTACAGTCATAGCGGTTGCTCACGCTTTGCATTCAAAATTAACAGCCTGCAGACCCTGGCAAGCGGTCACCCTGGCAATTAGCACCTGCAGCCGTTGCACCGCCGGGCAGTGTTGCAGCCCCGCCTCCTCTCCAGCGGTTTCCTGGTCCCGTTCTGAGTGCCGGTGCTAGGCATGCTTCTGCTTGGCTAATTCGCCCCTCGCGCGGGCCGCCTGGACTTTGACACGCCGTTGTTGCGCTCTCGATCGCGGCCGCCGACAAAAAGTATCCCCACCAGCCCATCCATGAGGGCCGCGTGGAAACACGCAGTTGCACAACCGCCTGAACGCGGCGCGAGGAGGATGAAGAAGAGGAGGGGGCGGCAGGAAAGGAAAGAAGGAAGGAAGGGGTGCTGCTGCTGGTGCTGTTGTTGCTGTTGGTGTTGCTGCTGGTGTTGTTGGTTATCATGTTGCTGGCGCTGCTGCTGTTAATTTGGCTGCTGGTGGCGGTGCCGCTGCTGCTGGTGCTGCTGCTGCTGCTGGTGCTGCTGCTGCTGGTGCTGCTGGTAGTGTTGCTGCTGGTGCTGGTGTGCTGGTGCTGCTTCTGATGGGGGTGTTGCTGCTGGTGCTGCCGCTACTGTTAGTGTTGTTGCTGGTGGTTGTGGTGGTGGTGCTGCTGCTGCTGCTGCTGCTGCTGCTGCCTGTGCTGCTGCTGGTGCTGACGGTGATGGCATCTTGGGAGGAGGAGGAGGAGGAAAGAAAGAGGAAACGGAGGAGGGGGAGGAGGAGGAGCAGCAGCAGGAACGCTGCGCAAGGAGGATGAAGAGGAGGAGGGAAGCGGCAGGAAAGAAGGACGGAAATAACGGACCATGACAAGGAGGACGAGAAGTCGGGCTTTGGGGATATGTTGTGGTTTTTCGAAGACTCGTAATGCCATCTCGGGAGAGGTGGGGAGGAAAGGAGGTAATGAGGTGAGGTGGGAGGGGAGGTGGGAGGGGAGGTGGGAGGAACGGAGGAAAGGTGGGAGGTGGGAGGTGGGAGGGAGGAGGGGGGAGGTGGGAGGAAAGGAGGAGGAGGAGAGGTGGGAAGGAAATATTGGGGGTCCTCTTAACATTAGCATCGCTCCTTATGTCCAGATGCTGGCGGATGTTTGAGGCTATTCTTGAAGGTATCCGAAGGTATTCGAGATCACGTCTTGAGAGGTATCCGAGAGAAGGTATCCGAAGGTATCCGAGATCACGTCTTCAGAGGTCTCCGAGGAGGTATCCGAGATTGCCTGACGTCCACCATCCCTGTGAAATAACTGGGTAATTATCCGAGGTATTCGAGAGGTATCCGAGATCACGTCTTCAGAGGTATCCGACAAGTTATCCGAAGGTATCCAAGATCACGTCTTGGGAGGTATCCGAGAAGGTATCCGAAGGTATCCCCTCCTCCTCTTCCCCAGTCCTCCCCCCCGCCCTCCCCTCGTCCTCATCCTCCCGCCCTTCCTCCTTCTCCTCCTCCTCCTCCTCCTCCTCCTCGTCCTTCTCCTCCTCCTCCTCCTCCTCCTCCTCCTCCTCCTCCTCCTCCTCCTCCTCCTCCCCCTCCCTTTTGGCGTTAGGCGAGCTTTAGATCCCAACAGCCCCCTGGGCGTAGGTGGTCTAGCGAGTAATGTCTTCTTTCTGCCAAGAACTCCTCCTTCCCCTGCTTGGGGGAGGGGGTTGTCCCTCCCCCTACCCCCTCCCCTGTACCTGGGAGGGGGCGGGCCCGAGTCGTCAGAACGTCCAAGATGGCCCAAGATGGCTCCAAGGGGGCCTCGGAGAGCGCAAGATGGCCTCCAAGAGATGGCCCAATATAGCGGTAGATGGCTCAAGATAGCTTCGGACACGCATCCAAGAGGCCTCCAGACGGCCCCACGACGGTTTCAAGTGCCCTCCGAGCCCTCCAAGGACCCCCCAAGTGGCCAATCCGTAGCCATTTTGGCTCAGGACTCCACGACAGGCTTGGGAAGCCCCTGTCCTCACGCGACGCTCCCTGCTCCACTCCTGGCGCGATGGTTCGGGGCCTCGCCGTGCCCATGCCGAGGCTTCCCCCGGAGGAGGCGCAATTCGCATCCGCCTTGCCCGAGCCCCGCTCGCACACGCGAGTGTCGACGCCGGAACCACCTGCATGCTCCGAGGGGGGCGGGCGTGGCGGCCTTGGCCTCGCGGCCGGCACGGGCGACAAAGGCGCTGAGGCGGGCCTTCACGTGAATCTGTGCAATGCGCTGCCAGTCCACTTTCTCGAAGACGAGGACCAGCTTCAGACCGCGCGCGAGGACACCGCGAACGAGGAGTTCTACGGCAAGTTCTCCCTAGAGGAGCTGACGCCTCCGGCGGGCTGCACCGTCAGCCTGGGCGCCGCGCTGCCCTTTGGCGTGCCGGCGCAGGGCACGCAGACTTGCGACTCCGCGGACTTTCCTGGCCCGCCCCGAAGGGCCGGCGCGGCCGACTTCTTGATGGATTGATATTGGGGAAGTTCTGGTAGATCATGTTCACTTGATCTTCCAGATCATAACTTGATCTTCCAGATCTTAACTTGACCTGCCAGATTTTACTTGACTTGAACGGTGCAAGTTGTGGAAGATACGGAAGTTAATTCTAGACGCTTCGCGTATCCCCACCAGCCCGTCCAGAAATGAGTCCCAGGGGAGTGGAGGTTATGAGGGAAGCGGGGGAGCATGCAGAAGAACAAAGGGCGGGGTGAGCCGCCATATACCCCAAGAGGGGGAGGCCGTAGGAGGAGCCGTCGTCGTCGGAGTAGGAGGAGGAAGATGAGGAGCAGGAGGAGGAGCAGGAGGAGGAGGGGGAGGAGGAGGAGGAGGAAGATAAGGAGGAGGAGATGGAGGACTGCGAGGACGAGGAGGACGAGAAGGAGGAAAAGGAGAAGGAGGAGGAGGAGGAGGAGGAGGAGGAGGAGGAGGAGGAGGAGGGGAGGAGGAGGGAGGAGGAAGAAAAAGAGGAGGAGGAGGACAATGGCGAGCTTGGGGGCCTCTTGGGCCGTCTTTGGGGCCTCTTGGCGGTCCCGGGGGCCTCTTGCGTATCTCGGGGAGCCTCTTGTGGCCTCTTGGGGGTCTCTTGGGGGCCTCTTGGAGGCCTCTTGGGCGCTTCTTGGGGCCTCTTGGGGCCCTCTTGGGGCGCTCTTGGGGCGCTCTTGGGAGCCTTCGAGGCGCTCTTGGGGCCATCTTGGAGGAGATCTATCAAAGAAGGGGGGGTCCCCAATTAGCCTCGCCCTTCCAGAGTGCCTCGAGCCGCCTCTTGGGCCCCCCCAAGAGGCCAAAATCCTTCCAAAACCTAGGTAAAATCAATGTTTTGTGTTTTCTCGCCTTTTCGCTATTGGAGCTGTCTTGGGCCATCTTGGACGTCCCAACGCGTCGCGGAACGCCCCGTCCAGGTCAGTGGGGAGGGGTAAGGGGAGGGGTAAACCCCTCCCCGAAGGGGAAGAAGGGGGTTGGCAGAGGAAACTCTCTAGACCACCTACGCCCTAAAGGGCTGGTGGGATTTGCTTGTTTTTTTGAAGTGGTTTTTACAGCGTGTAAGTTACGGGGAAGTTAGTTTTGGGCTGGTTCCAGTTGTGGAAGTTGCGTTCGAATTAGTGTGTGACTTGTTTTGTATTACTTTTCAGGTTTTTTGCTATAAAAAAAAACCACATGCGTTGCGAACAGCGGTTTTCTACCATCATTTTTTAGCAGAAATATGCCTTATGTCTGCCCCCATAGCGTTGTACTGATGTTTTGTTTCTCGAGAGCTTTGCAATGCCAGCGCTTGCGCTCCAGCTCACTTCAATCAAGCGCGTTGCGCACGTACCAAGCTCATTGCGCTCCAGTTTGAATTCAATCATGCGCTTCGCGCACCCTTCGTCTCCTCCTCCTTCTCCGACTTCTCCTCCTTCGCCTTCTCCTCCTTCCAACGTGCCAAGCTCCTCCTCCTCCGTCTCCTCCTCCTCCTCCCCCTCATCATCATCATCATCATCATCATCCTGCTTATCCTCCTCCTCCTCCTCCTTCTCGTGGAGCCTGGAGCGTGAAGATCTGTACTTCCTCCAGGATGACGAGGAGGAGGAGGAGGAGGAGGAGGAGGAGGAGGAGCTCCCCCTCCCCCTCCCCCCTCCTCCTCCCCTCTCCCCTCTCCTCCTCCTCCTCCTCCTCCTCTCCTCCTCCTCCTCCTCCTCCTCCTCCTCCTGCGCCCCCCCTCATTCCCCAATGCGCCCTTAACGCCCCCCATTCTCTTGCCAGTCCTCCTCCTCCTCCTGCTCCCTCCTCCCACCTCCTCCTCCTTCCTCCTCCTTCTCCTCCTCCTCCTCCTCCTCCTCCTCCTCCTCCTCCTCCTCCTCCCTCGTCTGTCTGTCTGTTGTTCTTTCGACGACGACGTCGGCCTCATCTCCTCCGGAGGAGGACGAGGCAAAGATGAGCGCCGAGGAGAAGGGATGTGGAGGGAGGAGGAGGGAGAGGGGAGAGGGAGGGAGGAGGGAGAAGGGAGGGAGCCAGGATGATGAGGAGGACGAAGGGCAGGAGGAGCAGGAGCAGGAGGAGGAGGAGGAGGAGGGGGGGGAAGGAGGAGGAGGAGGAGGAGGAGGAGGAGGAGAAGAGAGGAGGGAGGAGGCGAGGGAGGGGAGGAGGAGAGGAGGGAGGATGAAGGAGTGAAGGAGGGAGGGAGATGATGATGATCAGGAGGAGAGGAGGAGAGGAGGAGGAGGAGGTGGAGGAGGAAGAGCAGCGGCATCAGGAGGAGGAGGAGAGGAGCAGGAGGAGGAGGAGGGGGGAGCAGAAGGGGGGGGGGAGAGGGAGGAGGAGGGGGAGGAGGGAGGATGGGGGAGGAGGAGGAGGGAGGAGGAGGGAGTTGGAGGAGAGGGGCATGAGCAGGAGGAGGAAGAGGGAGCAGGAGGGGGGAAGAGGAAGAGGCGGCGGCGGCGCCAGCAGCGGCAGGAGGAGGAGGGGGGGGGGGAGGAGGGGGAGCAAGAGCAGGAGGGGGAGCAGGAACAGGAGGCGTGAGAGGAGGAGGAAGGGAGGAGGGAGGGAGGAGAAGGGATCATGAGGAAGGAGGGAGGGAGGGAGGGGGGGGGGGGAGGATGAGGTGGAGGAGCATATTCGGAAGAGCAGGAGGCGGAGGGGGAGCAAGGGGAGCACGGGGAGGAGGAGGTGGGAGGAGGAATGGAGGGAGGGAGGGAAGGAGGGAGGAGGGGGAGAGGATAGGGGAGGAGGGAGGAAGAGGAGGAGGAGGAGGATGTTGGGAGGAGGGAGGGGGGTAGGAGGTGGAGGATGAGGGGTCGTCGCAGGCTGCCAACGCGCGTCCGCGGCCGCTAGCCGAGCGAAGATGCGGCCGCCCGAAAACACCCCGATAACACCTCGATAACACCCGGTAACAATGACAATCGAACTGTTATCGAGGTGCTATCGAGTGTTATCAAGTGCTACCGAGCTCGATAGCACCCGACATCACTTCGATAACACCTCGAAACTATTTCGATAACATTGCTATCGAGTGTGATCGAGCTCGGTAACACTCGGTAATGAAGCTATCGATGTGGTATCGATATCGAGTGTTATCGAGCTCGATAACACTCGATAACATCTCGATAGCACCTCGATCGCAGTTCGATACCATTGCTATCGAGTGTGATCGACCTCGGTACCATTCGATATCAATGTTACCGAGATGTTATCGAGTGCTATCGAGCTCGATAACACTCGATTGCACTCGGTAACCCTTTGGTAACACCTCGCTACCATTTCGATAGCATTGCTATCGGGATGTCATCGATGTGTTCTCGGGGTGTTACCGGGCGGCCGCATCTTCTCTCGGCTAGGGGCCGCGGACGCGCGCTGGCAGCCTGCGACGACCCCTTATCCTCCACCCCCTACCCCCCTCCCTCCTCCTCCCCCCCTCCTCTTACTCCTCCTCGTCCTCCCTCCTCTCCCATCCTCTCCCCCTCCCTCCCTCCTTCCCTCCCTCCCTCCCTCCATTCCTCCCCCCCCCTTTCTCCTCCCCCTGCTCCCCTTGCTCCCCTTGCTCCCCCTCCGCCCCCTGCTTTCCCGAACATTCTCCTCCACCTCATCCTCCCTCCCCCCCTTCCCTCCCTCCCTCCTTCCTCGGCCGTTTTGGCACAGGCGCGCGCTCGTTTCGGGCCTGTGCTTGCCGTCACCGAATCTTCGAAACGGCTGGGTGGCGGCGGGCCAAGAGTGGCGTGCTACCTGCCAGCACGGCCCCCTCACTGGCACGTTCTTTGCCATGGCCCCAGCTCGTGACGCTGGTGACAATCGCACATGGCACTGCCGGTTCTGCGTGCACGAGCAGACAGGGGCTCGGTTTTTCAACGAGCCAGAGCTGGCGCAGTGCTTTCAATGTCGACGCTCGACAGGAAGTTGCTTCCACTCATACAAGCAGCCTGTTATTCCCTCGGTCAACACGCGGGCTGCTGGGGGCGGGGGCAAGAAGGGTGGAGCTGAGCCTGACACCTCTTGGGCTCGAGCAGCGGAACTACGGCAAGCCCATGCTCAGATCGCCAAGCTTGAGAAGCAACTCGAGTCGGTTGCACTGCGAGATGCGTCCTAGATGGGCGTGGACACTGAGCATGTGGCTGAGTTCGAGAGCGGCGAAGCACACGACGAAGTTCAAGCTCGAGCTCGTCTGGCAGAACTGGACAAGCAAATCGACATGGCCTCGAAGTGCGATGGAGAGGCGCGGCAGGTGTTGCATAAGACGCTGTCCGACGAGCAGGCCCCTTTGCAGGCCCAGGTCCACAGCAAGAAGCCCGCCACTGCTCAAATGTTTGCGATTACCAGACACATTGAGAATGTTGAGAAGCAGGTTGCGAAGCAGAGCAAGCAGGTGGACATGCAGCGAGCTGAGATCACCAAGCTGCAGGAGAAGCTTGCGAAGCTGGAAGCGTCAATTCAGGAGAAGCGCACCAAGCTGGCCACGCTGCGCCAGCAACACTTGGGTTTGGCCCAGCAAGCTACCACGCCGCCAGAAGGAAAGTCCGATGGCCCACTCACGGCCGTTGGACTGGTTGCAGGCAAGTTGGGCGAAGTACTTCGGCAGCTGGGCGCTGGTGAACAAGCCATGGCCATGGCTGAAGGGGTTGCGCAAGCTTTGCCCACCATCATCAAGAACGCGGAGGTTCAGGTTCTCGGTGCCACCAGGACGGAAGCTCCAGCACAGCCGGCGGCGCCAGCTACACCAGGCGGCGCTGAAACCAAGTCGGAGGTTCCTCAACAGCTTGCCCCTGCTGGTCCTGCTGTGGCTGATGTATTTGTGGAAGGGCCCCGCACTTTGTTGGACTCGGCAGGTGTCACGGTGCCAGAAGATGAAGCGGAGGTGCGTTCGGCAGCCATCAGGTTGCTCAAGATGCGCGATGCCAGTCGGTTCAACACGTTCAGAGCTTATTAGGCGCAGCGTCCGGCGACGCATGATGCTATGGTTTTTTGTTTGCAGTAGTGGTGATGTCAAGTTCTTCGGGCTG